AAATCCTTTAAAAGAAAGGAAAACGGTAATAAAACCAGCCAGCGGCTCTTATATTTCCAGATAATACGTTTTAATCCCCGTTTTTAGCACTTTTCTCTAATGCTTGGCGAACTAAAAACTTAATTTTTCATTTGTAAATCCTTAAATGCCGAGTTCAAACTAGTTAAATCCCTTTATTCTTCGCCCGATTCAACTGCACAAGTGTTTAAGTACACAATGGTGTTTGTGGAAAATTCTATCAGATATCGAATAGCCCGGGGCTCAGACTATTCCAAAGCATTCTATCCGAGCACTCTGCTCGTTAATAATGGATTTTATCCGTCGGCAGATAAAATATTTTATGCTGCAACTAAGTACATAGATAGACTATAATAATATCCTGGACTTTTCACACAACGCCATCTAATGCCAAACCTAGCAGAGTTTGTGTTATGAGTTCTAGATAACTGCATGAATTTTTCCATACATATTTTTGTACACACATAATGTACATAAAAAAACCTAAAAAATTATTAACTTTTAGAATTTTTAAATTATTTCTGACGCAATGATCACAATTCTTTACATTATGAGCACTGCGGCATTTTTGTACATTTAATCGATTTGATACATAACTGGATCTTTGTTTATAAAATAAAATGTATTTTAAATTTTATTAAAATCTGTAGAATTACCAAAAGTTAAAATACGTATATGGTTTACTTTTGCATATGAGCGTTCTATACGCAAAAATGTTGCAAATAACCTGTACTGTAACTTCTTATAAGATAATTCTAATCACAAATCGGCCTGTATAATTACAAAACTGAAGATTTAGTCAGTTTAAAAAAAAAACATTACATTAACCCAGACATCACAGTAGTGGCGAAAATGTTGCAAATATATTATATTTGCAACATTTTCGTCTATATTTGAGAGGGTGGATATGCCTATAGCAGAGAGGGTGAACTCACTACCCTCACTGAGTTATACCGAGACCGTTTTGTCTCATTCATTAGTTTTAAATTATATTATTATATGGGCAATATTTGTATTGTGTGAAAAGTTTTTGTTTGAGACAAATAAAAATTATTATTTTTTTATTTTTTATATTCTCTCAGCTTTTGCTGGTTTTTTTTATTATTATTTGAAACATACTTTGTTTTTTTGCTATCAATTTACAAGCTGCGGCTTCGCACAGGTGAAATACAAATCTTTGAATTTCTCAGTTGTTCTGCACTATAATATATAACTATGAAAAAACTACAAAATAAATTCACTCGTTTTATATACTTTAAGGAATACGGTATTTATCCTTACTACCCCATGATGTATCCGAGTTTGTTTGTAATGGGCATGGTTGGGTATAATAAATTAGCGGTGAGAAGAGATGTCTCTCTTGTAAAATATGTTGTGAGTGTATTACGAGGGTGGGTGCATCACCCAGAAATATTAGAGCAAATTCAGCTATGGGTACCCAAAGGTTACGTGGGCGCGCGCACTCATCCCGTTTTATTCAGTATTCAGATAGCCAGGACCAATTTACTAAAATATTCACCTGTAACCCGAGATACTGAACAATATCAGAAATGATATTGATATTTTTGATTGTAATCTGCCGAAATATACAAAAGCCATTCAAAAGTATCTAGATTTTTTATAATCTTTACCTGCATTGTATAATTAAATATGTTATGTAGTAAATTAATATATAGGTATATATATGCATATGTATATCTACTAATTTGCAACAAAGGTTTGGTTATACTGTAATGGTGTTGTAATATTGAAATGAATAATAAATTATACATATAAACTATCCTCTTGAATCATTCTATCCATAGATGAGAACTGCATTAAAATCCGTTGTGTAGTTTAAAAGACAGCGGCGGCAACTTTCTTTTATTCTATGTACTGACTGAGTGAAGCGTCTTACAAATCTGGGTCTTTGCAACATCCCTCCTTATTATCTCATTATTTGTACATTGCCCTAAACATAACACAAACTCGGAAGTATTATACTAATAGGGTTATCAGTTTGCAATCTCTTTTGTTTTGTTACCGCTCTTGTTTAGCAGGACCAAACTTTAGCAGCAATGTTAAGAAAACAATGAAATCGAAAATATAAGCATAATTTAAGTTAATGTACTATTATTATTAGTATCCAACGCTTTACAAAAGTTAATTGTTATCGCTATCTTCAGTTTGATATAACCCAATAATACGTTCAGATATTTTTTTATTTTCTGGTTGTAATGGAAAAAATTGGATAGATTTCAGAAATCTAGAAATGTAATAGAAATTGCTGTATTTAATTTATAAATAGAGATTTACAATGATTGCGTATATAAGCCGAGAAGTTTCTTGCTCATTATTCTTGTGATGAGAAAGCTTTCCGAGTAAGCGGTAGATTAAAAAAATTGTGATGACTATTCAAAAGTAATTAAATTAAGTTTATTTGAATAAAGGATTTTCTATTTCTATTCTATTCTAAGAAGGGTCGCCAATATTACATAAAATTGTACTCTATACCATTTCATTTGTAGGACGATTTATTGTTAGAGACAGACAGTAGGCGTACCCTACAGACGTAGGTACAGGTCATCTATACAAAGAAGGCGATACGAGTCTCCAATAATTATTCAGTCAATGTTATGAATAGCAATACTATTAGACTTGTAAGACTAATAGCAGGGTCTTAAGTAATAGTTATTAATATATTAAGTCTAACATTAAAATCGCTTATTGCCGTCTTATAATTGAGTAATAAATATTACGTTTTATGTACCTGTAAATTCCTGTACCATAATCTAATACTCAATACAATATATTAAAGCTTCCACAAAAGGTTCTACTGTATAATTACCACATTCATGGCAATATATATTTTCATTTAATTTCTAATATGTTTTTGTTAAACTTGTCTTAATTAACTATATTAAATTTATTAAAAATTTAATTAACTTTATTAAAAATGTTATCAGTTTTATTTTTCAACCTTGATTTTATTGGTGTCTGTTACAGAGAAATATCAGTAAAATCTAATTAAATATATGTTATGGAATAAACATATTTTCTCTCTTCTTCTTTCTTTCTAATTAGCTATATTTTCCATATCTGCTATTACCTAACCTACTCCCACTTCACTCGCCACAAGCTCTAACTCACCCAGAAATAGAAAAATAAAAAGAAAAAAAGAATCTGGATATGATTCTTTCAATGACATGCTTCCAAATCAAATAGATTGGATAAATTGAACAATATTCCTTCCAGAGGAAAAAGAGAAGCGGCAATTGAGATTCTTGTTGCAAGAGATAATTTGATTGATATAAGAAAGGAACGACTCCTTTTTGTCATAAATAGATAAAAAAAATGTATACCAGCCTCCTGGGTGGTATACATTTTTCAGGACGTTTCGGAAAACGTCCTGAAAAACAGTGCAATTTAATTGTGCATGCAGCTTTTTATATACCTATAATTATGTTTTTTATTGTCTATTATTTGATATAGACAAATATTTTATATTTTCATTATTCTTCTGTTATCTGCTTTAATTTTGATACATATTAATTATACTATTCCTTCTTAAGAACCGTCTCTCCAGAATTACATTTATCAGCTTCATACAAATACAGTCCCTTCGCTCACATCAATGTTATATCGGAAATATTTTGCAGAGTAGATCCGCAAGAAATATACCATTGTTCTTAAATAAATCAATAATCATATATAAGTATTGTAACCGTTGTTTAGATCTTTCTAAAAGACATCTTTGTAAATAAGTATGTTCAGAAATAAATGTGTTGTATCTAGCTAACCGAAATTGTATTTATTATTCTAAATTTATATTTTTACAGTTCCTTTATAGTATGTTATTCTGTAGTATTCTGTCTATATGCAGTTTCCATTAAATATTAGAAAAAGACTTGGAAAACGGAGAAATATATTAAAATATATATATATATATCCGTTATATAAATATACATATATATCCGTTTTCCAGGTCTTTTTCTATAGTTTTCTTTTTACCTCTACACATATAAAATAAAACTACAACAGAATGTGCAACTGATGTTCTTTTATCCGTTAATTTTACCCGTGGGTAATCCTACTAGTAAAGAAATAAGAGAAAATAAAGACACATCTACGGAATGCTTAAATGAAGTTGGAAAATGTTTACAATGTTGCTCCCGGACGTAGCCGGATAACGCTCCTGGTAGGTAGTCATAAAAAGGAGATTTAAGAGAATTGCCAACAGTGCCAAACGTTAACGTAATTGACCTATTCAATAAGGTTGAAAATGCCACGATTTTCGGAGCAATCGTTGTGAATTTAATGTGCTGGGGTAGCGCTTCGGTTTAAGTAGTGCTATTGCGTGTCGTGCTCAACCCTTCAAAGTGTGACGTACAACCTATATAGGTAGGTAGACGAATGTGTAGGTAAATGCTACCATTGTTTGCCTTAAGCCGTTACGTGACTGACCTACCGAAATTAGCCTGAAAGAATAATAAACCTTTAATCTGACTTCTACGGAAATTATTATTATTATCAATATCATAATCATGTAAATATATTAAAAAAAATACATAATAATTTATTTTTGCTTATTTTGTTTATTACGAAGAAATATTTTTATTGCATTATCTTTGTCATAAGTGAACATGTAGAAAAAATATCTATTGCAAACTTATAACGGATAATAAATACTTTTACGAAACTTTCTAGAAATATTTCTGTAGTATCGATAGTGAATTTTTCCATATCTTTTCACCTTTCTGTGTTACGCAATCTATTTATTCCTTCATATTAACAAAAGACTCATAAAACGCTTTAAATAATAACTTTTATGGCATCCGTGTCTCAACAAATCGGCACCTTTCAGTAAGCAACTATTTTACACTCGCTGCGAAAACAATTCGTTGCGCGTTCAATCGATTTTCGACTTAATGGCCCCGGCAAAAACTACGGTGCCGCGTGTTGTTAATACACATGCGCATAAAATATAAATTACATCAGCTTACCTGCCCAGCATGTAGGACGTCCAAAAATATGGTAAAAACACATATAAAAAGTACGGCTCGCGTCATTTTTGCGGCCGCGATGCGTCCCAAAACCTAAACTGCCACTACTGACGTTTGTGTGAGACGCCACAAACCTGCGTACTAACTAGACTGGACCATACCGTCGCCGTACCTAACGTCGTATAGATCGACCCTCCCGGGAGTGAGGAGGATGGAGGACAATGTGGTATGGAACAGAGCGGGACAAATATTGGAGGATAACGCACGCGCACTGCCGTTAACGCAACGTACAATAAGGACGTATATCGTAGCGAATAACAAATGTCCTCGTCTGGCTTTGTCTGAATTTCCCGATGATGATGCATCATTTTTGAAAAGCCAATAATCGATATGGGTATAATTAAGCATATTTCGGTATGCTCTATATGTTTGCGTCATTCTTTACAATCATTCAGATTGTAAATCAAGGTCTCCAAATGAAGCTATCTATTTCTGTTTTTAAATCGATAAATATAGAGGACTAAGTATTACTAATTATCGAAATAAACATTAAGTAGCATATAATAAGAAATAAGAATACTCAATTAAGGAATGTCTATGTAAACAGAATTTTAACTTACCCTTAGTGATACAATGAAAAAATACAAATAGAAATAATCTTTATTCAAATAATCTTGATATAAACACTTTTGAATAGTCAAGTTTTTTTATTCTACCGCTTATTCGGAATGCAGATTCATCATAAGAAGAATGAGAAAGAAACTTGTGTGTTGCTCTTTTAAATAAATATTTATTTATTTATTTAACTACAAGGATTAGGCATACGACAATCAACATAGAAACCGCTACGCACTTAATCTCTGTTCAATCAGATAACATTGTCAGCGCTATGAATTTTAAGTCAGATATTTTCTACAAAAACATTATTATCATTTATAAATTCTTCAATTTTATAATAAGCTTTTTTACAATGAAAAAATTTTATGACACATTTGAATTTTTTTCTGGCAAATTGAGTACAGACTCTGGGAGTTTGTTGTAAAACCTTACGCAATTTCCATAAAACGAATTACTAAGTTTCGTCAAAGGGCACTTAGGTAAAACTGTTCTGTGCTATTCTGGTGTACAAGCTATATTAGGTACTATAAAGATTCATCAAAAGCTATTCCGTAGTTTTTACGTGAAAGAGTAACAAACATCCATCCATTTATCCATTCATAGATACAAACTTTCGCGTTTATTTTTTTTTTTTAGTAAGATTTAGCAGCCAGCAATAACTCTTCCTCGCTACTAAACAGATCCTTTTATTTCACAACAAAGAACTACCAAAGGCCTGCATTTAACTACCGTTACGAGATTACCTCTGCCGATAGAGTAACCCTGCATTTAACTAAAACGGCATCACTACTGAAAGCCTTATCTACCCTTCGCTTATAAATTTTTCCAGTATCTTTACTGGTCGATTAGTTTTACTTTCCTTCCTCTAAGGATGGCTTTATTTACGATTAGATTCAACCCTGTCCTTTTACTGGTTAAGTTAACTTATTCTTATAAGACAATATAAAATTACCCTACCCTACTAATACCCCTATGTGGTGCCCCTTGGACATCGTCGTGATAGATTCCTACTAAATTTGCCACAATGGGATAACTGACCTGACCTCATGCTCATCCCCTACTGGTGCCCCGCCAGCGTGTACCGTTGACCCAAGCGAGTGCATCATACCATTATCATTTATTAAACAAACTGTTTAAGTCCTTTTAACTTAATTATTACATTCTTCTTATAAAGTAAACTGTATAGATCCGAAGTTTTGAAGAACCAGTAATATAAATACCCAGTAATTAAAAAATAATATAATCATGTTAATGTGCAATAGTTTTTCAGCGTCGGACCCTTGAACTTAGGGAATAAGTGGCTCGTGTAACCTTCAGAGATTTAGTCAAACCATAGGTATCGATCATTACTGACCTCAAACCTTCATGGTATCTATAAACTGTCCAGGGGAATTCAATCCATAACTTTACATATTAAGCTCTATAACAGAGTTCGATTAAAATGCAAAACATTATTGTAATAAGAATGGATATGTCAACTGACAAAGATTGCTTCAATTTTAAATCATTCAGCAATTCGTTTTCTTCTTACACTGGAAACCCCCAGACTATAATATACAATACACTATAATAAACATGAATATAAATGTTTATTTCGTGCGAGGAATCGACCCTGCTACCATTAGAAGTAAGGCGGTGAGGTAAACCGCTAGACCACCGAGGCCGTCAAATAATATACCTATCAGTGTAAAAGCAAGCAGTCTTAAAACATAGCACTAAACCTAGGTATCTATACCCGACCGGCAAGTGTAATCTAATAGGTTCTACAACCCTTATGGGAAGTATAAGTTTTGGTAATATTTTACACTGCTATCCAATAAATAGTCCTGCAAATCATGAATTTATCGTCTCGAATTTCCAATACGGCCGAAACTCATACGGAATGCTCTTTTGATCGTAAATTATAGAAGCTTAGAACGCTCGGTGGCTGCCATGATCAGATTTTTGGGAAATATAACGCCCGAAGGGTGCTTATATACGGGGCCCCGAGATTGGGGTAGGGCGACTGTTAACTAACTCTGTGTTATGTTTACAGTTTTCTTATAATAATGTATTTTTGTGTCAACATTTCTTTTGTATATATATATTATGCAGTTATAAAATGATAAATGTAATTACGTAACTATGGCAGGATAGTTTTTAGGAAAAAGTTGTAATTATATATCAAAATAAATGCAGATAAAAGAAGACTAATACAATATTTTTCTATACCAAATAATATATACATATATCACAAGGTAAAGATATATCTAAAAAGATTTTATACAAAGACAGTTTTTATTCATACTAACGTTATTTAAATACATGATTGATTGGTTATTTGTTTCTTTTCACAACCAAACAGCTGGATATTAATGAAATACTATGAAGCATTTTCTTATTCATACTATGAAGATAAATTTTATCACGAGAATAGACAGAGGCTGTATTTTATTTAAATAAATGCAGGCAAAGTCGTAAGTTATAGTTATATTTTTAATTAGTGTAAAGAAATTATAACAAACTTCAACATATAACAACAAATTAAATATTTTAAATAAATAATACATATTACTTAATTAGTTTTTTTACGACAAATTAAAAGTTTACATAAGCTTAGTGATTTATTTATTTATTTTGCAAATACTCATAAAAATCCGTTGGTATCACTAGCCCTTCCGAGAATTATATATTGTAAGTTACAGAATTCTACAGTACATAGGTATATATAATATATACATTTCAAAAGCCTATTTTTGCTCCTGTAATAACCTATTTCTGTCGCCATCAAGGAGCAGCGTGGGCAGAGCGTGCTTGTGACTGTGCAAATATTTTACTAAGAAATTGAAATAGAAAATCTTATTGAAGCAAATAGATATATTATGTTTTTAAATAATATTTATAAACTATGTATCCAGGCTCGGGTACACGCACGTGATACCCCTGGTGTTTCAGGCGTTCATGCGTAACTGTCTACCATCAGATGGGCCGTATTCTTCTTTGCCACCATGGTGGTATAAAAATAGATATTAAAGTTAATCAAGCTTTGTAGATTATAAAGAAGTTACTAAAAAAATGTATTAATACGTCAAATGTACAAAATAAAATTTTAATGTTTGTTTATTGGGCCCAAGTCTTCCACTTCTTGTAACATAAAATAGCTTGGATCTTATGATGTTAATACAATATTTATCATTTTACACTCAAGTAGGTAATTATATAACTGTACAAACGGAATCTTTTAATCAAGTAACTTAATTTCAGAAAATGTACTGTACCTTTTTGTACTAATGTACTGCATTAAAGTTATAAATAAATTCCAATGTAATGCTAAAATGAAATATACATTTCCATTTCCTTGTTAATTTCTTTAAGCGACATCTGTCAATTGGCGCTGATTTGAGTATATTTTCACTTAAGACTCTCAGTGGTTGTTCATTCATAAATTATACAACGGTGTCAATTCCACTACGAATAGGAGGACCAACGATCCAAAGCACGCGTACCCTTGTCATCGTTCACGTCAACTTGGAAGCACCCTCTACCACTCGCATTTCAAAGGTAAACCTCCCTTTGATAGACCGTAACGTATTTATTGACCTGCTAATCACAGTAAAGTGCAGAGCCATCAGAAATACCACATGCCCAATTTGTGATACAGAAATCTGTACTGCGCATTGGTCTATTTATAAATCGGATTACCGGACTTAATTAGCAGGGCTTATTAGTACAAGCTAATAGGCAATCCCATTCCATTGAAACTGTGTATAGAACAGATGGTTTAATTATAATTTTGGTAAATAAATAGTTTCATATTTTTATATCATTGGAATAGCAAAGTAGCTAACCTACCGGATGGACCTACAGCTTGTGAATGGAATAAGGTACATCACAAAATATATTGTGACATCCTTAATACCGCTCATATATGCATTGCCATTCCTAAGGATGGTTAGGTAAAATGGCACACTTTCTTATATATATACATATTTTTACAAAGTGATATTTTACTGTCATATTTCTCCCTCCACACCATTAGCTTGCGAAGAAAACTACTTGAGGGCTGTGAAGGAAGGAGATCAAGAAGAGACGAGCAAAGAAAAAGACACCGATATAGTCGTAAAAATTATATTGACTTATATCACATATGTAAAACAATATAGTTATTATAAAAAACATAGACAATAAAAAAGGTACATAAAACAGTTTCCAATAAGAGCAGGAACAAATCGGACAATCGTATCCATACAGTTGGTTTTTTATAAAACTACAAACTCACTTACGTGTTAAATAGCTTTGGTGTGTTATTTACGTATAATTGAAAAAAAACACAGACCACATAATATTATACATATAGTAGAAACTTACTACTATAGTAAAAACTAGTTATACGAACTACTTAGTAAAATCTAAAAAATAAAACCTGAAGTGTTATTTTTATCATATTTTAAAAGTAACAACCCAGAGCTGTAGATTATTATAATCTCCCGCCTATATTGCTGTAAAAAGGCCATCGTCTAAGAACTTTATGCCAAG